GAGGGACCTGCGCATTGCAGCTGCTTGCACTTTCGAGAACGTGCAGGGCGCCGAGGCGTCTCGATTCCGCGTAGTACCTATCTCCGTCGATACAGATGAAATTATGCCGATGCATTTAGCGTGAAGCGTAGCCATCGATGGTACTGCTCAATTATTATTCATCGGATGCTCCGACAATTAAACGTGAGAGATCCTTGGCCGGTGTAGCCTCTACCTCGTATTGACCTCTACTCAAGCGAATCGTCCTGATTTTTTCAATACGTTTTGCATTATTTTAATCGACTGTGATATTACCATCCCCTTCCCCCCTGTTTCGTCGCTCCAGGGCCAGCTACACCGTCCCGTAAATATTTCCTTGAACACGTTTCAAGGGGAATTCGTTTGGAAAATTCCTAAACGGGGTAACAGTCGCTGCACGTTCGCTCGGCAGTTGCGAGGCCAAAGAGGGTATTTTTCTTTTTAATCCAACACGCGTCCCTCCGTCATTATCGAGTATGACAAACGGTAATGCCGTTAACAAGGTCAATATACTTCGGACGTCCGTAAAGTTTCCGATAGACCGACGTGAGATGGATGGTGGATCGATAAGCGATACGAAGGCGTTATTCTGACAATGAGCCACATTGAGGATGTATATCCGTTTGTGGAATTGTTGTAAAAGATAAAGTCTCTGTAAAACTTTGAATTACTGGAATCAAGACTGTATGTAATATTGTTCGATAATTCTCGTTTCTCTGCATTAGATTCCGAGGTGTTCTCCTCGGACAAATAATAATATTATTCTTGCACAATGACGTTTGATTGAATTCGCGTTAAGAACGACACGCGGTATCAGGTGGAACGTGCAACAATCGTACTCGGGAGATATTGCGAAATCAATTGAGGTCGTTAACATGATATGCCTTGTGCGTGGAAGGTGTTTTAAAGCGACTGTAGGTACGAAAAAGAAAAAATGATCACGGTATTTCGCGTGACAGCCGGCATTGTTTATATGGAACATACGTAGAATATAATTTTTACGTCGTAAATCTACGTGCATGAAACTCCTTTTCTTTCTATGCGTTCGCGTATACATGGATAATAGCGGAATTTTATGTACGCTTCGTGAAGTATGAACGTGAAACTTTAGGCTTATCGATCTAACAGACTTTCGCGTCACGCGATCAATAACACAGCCCTAATTTTACTCGATGCCAGAGAACGTCGATAAGCAGGGTGGTAGGTGGTGTTAAGAGAATACATGAGAGAAAAATGATTGATTTCGCTAGCTGAACTAAAATGATTTAAAATTCCAACTGACCTTGGCCTCTCGAGTAATGATGAATCTCGAGGAATCCAGTAAAATCCAGCGTAAATCTCCGAATCCACAATATTTCTCTGAATGAGTGAATCCACACCGAACACACCGTAAATATAGACTGGTTGCGGTAACTCGCTCGGACCGTCACTTATAGCAAAAGCCACTATGTCACATGACTGTTGGGGCCTTACTCGCAATTGCTGTCACTGTGATACTCGCAGTCAGTCAATCGAGAAAGCCAATCGCCTCTGTGGTTTGGAACTTCGAGAAAGTACTACGTCAGAGCGAACACGTGGGAAGGACGTGGATGCGCCGGCACTTTTTTCCCAAATCTTCTCATTCGCTCGATTCGACGGTAATTACTCGTGTTTTTGAGTGCAGTGGTGTCACGATTTAAACAAATTATTTTTTTTTTTGAAAAATTTCGGGTCTGATTTTCCTAATACCGTATGAAATAGAGGGAGGATTTAAATAGAAGTCCAGAAGCAACGTGTTATGCGCCAGACAAAATCCCAAGAGATTTCCTTTTTATCGTGGGACAAAAGGAACGAATCTGCCGCGGGATAAGAAATAATAATGGCAAAGGGACGCGGGATAGGAAAAGCATGAGCTTTGCTTTCGACAAGGCAAGCTTCTTTATGGCTGAAAGGGTTATTTCTCGAGGACGCTAGACTGGAGCATCTACACGTGGATCACTCCAATTAAAAAGCTTCTTTTTATAACTCGGCCAAGACGTAGTTCATGCGCGAGAGCATGTCTGCTAACTTTGCGACCATTCCTGGTAAAGGTTATCGTGCCATTAGAAAATAGCTTGCGATGCCAATAGCGATCTTTCCCAAAAAATGAAACGGATGGATATATCTTATTTTGAAAAGTAGAGTCCACGACGTTCAGTGCTAAATTAAAATAATAATAACCTTTCTATTGTTGTTAAGCAAATGCAACGTAGACGCTGAATAATAAAAAAGAATCGGATCGTTTTACGGTCGACCGAGCAACACGTAGGCCATTCCACCGGATTATTTCCTTCCGCGATATCGGCGCTCGTCGCCGATGAAGTACTAAGAGTAAACAGGTGGCGCGAAATCCTTCACAGAACCGGAAGTAGGGTGGAAGCAATTTGTCGTGCACCAGTAAGCGGAATCACGTGCTTCATGAAAAAGCAGGAGGTCCAGGTTGCACAAGGTTACGCACGTAGTAGATTCAAGTATTGCGAGAGCGCCTTCAGCTTCCAGAAAGCGTACGTGCCTCCAGATGCGTTTCACGAGTATCGACAAGAACCCAATGACCTTCCGTTCAATTTTCATTCCATCAAGATCATTAAGGTCGTTTACATGTCACGGCTTTACGGGTGCGACCGCTACGCGCGGGCCTGAGAGAGAGAAGCTTCTTCTCGTTACCGGACGTATCGGGATTCGCATCCGAGAACATGACCTACGAGGAATGTACTTCCGTTTTCCGTTAGTGATATACGCCGAGCTGCACAGGATCGACGCCAAGGCGCTAAAACATGCCAAGTATGACGCTGCTCACCAGTCAGGAAAGAGAACAGTAGCCTCGCCGAGGATGTCCCTGAGGAGGGTTGTCGCTGGCGGTACGTGCGGCAAAATAACCGGTGCGAAGACACCGCAGACGCCAGCACTTCTGCCATGTTTGGCCTCGTACTTGCCAAGGTAGATTGCTAGGTAGCCGAGAAGACGGTAGTGCGAGGCCGGTAGGGTCGACAGAAGTTCCTTGGTAGTGTCGATCCAGTTCTCACGATCCTTATCGTAGTCCTCTGTGAAGTCCATTAAAATTCGAAAGAAATTGATGCGTGGGAAATATAATTACGGAGAGATCAAGGGGGTGGTTTTAGTAAGGAGATAGTTGAATTATACGTACGAGAGTGAATTTGGAGCAATCTACCAACGAGGGCAGAAGATACTACGGGCTGCGGAAGTTCCTTAAGATACTGTCTGAGGAGAGTTGCAGCTGTAGGCGGGCAGGCGGCACCCTCTAAATCGGCATCCCCTCTGCGCTCAAAGGCAGCCCTGAGTCTTTCAGCCACCCTGGGATTGCCACCGGATAATCTGAAGACGGCTGCACTTTGAAAGCCATGGGTCTCGATGTAGCTGCACAGTCGATGAACTACGAACGGGACTCCAGTATCCTGATAGGACTCAACCAGGTCCAGACGGGTGCCAAAGACCTTTGCAGATCCCGTTCCACGACCCAAAAGCGATCCAGCAAGGACACGCTTTACTCGAGCAAGTCGAGACTCCTCCTGAACGATAATTGATTTCATTGATTTCTCTTTTTCGTCTGTCAGACAATTTTCATGCGAATTTTTGATCCTGCGACCAACAGGACCCAAGACGTTAATGGAACTCGAAATAAACGACTGACCTTTTCGTGAACTTGACGGGAGCGTGTGGGACTGGCTGATGATCCATGATGATGATGATGATGGTGATGATGGTGATGAAGAGGTTCTTGCTGAGGTCGTCTCATCCCACTCCGTCTACACCGCGACCCACTGCCGCACTGTTATTGATATAAAACTAGAAATATATTCCAAAAATCCTTACTATCCTAAAATAGCAATTGAACATTTATTCTTCGCCTCTGCTTTGCAAAGTGGCTCGCGATCATTAAACACGTCTTTTGCAGCATCCTGCTTCGAACGAAATCTACTAATGACTCCGTGCAGACTATTTACCTATTCAACTCTACAATGTCTACTCTCTTCTGATATCACATAATTCGGATGACTCCTTCGTGCTTTCCTTAGAGCCGGAATAAGGACAGAGCGGTTTTTCGCGACTACTGGCGTGCGCTTAGATTCGCCGGTTGGCATTGCTCAAAATTATGGATACCCAAGTTACATTACTGTCGCTATACACGCGACGTAAGCTTGCCGCTTCCATACTAAATTTTCTATTTTGAGAAAGAACTCCGAAGGAAAAACAAGACACGATTGGCTCGAGTGAGGAGGCACGCCTTGGATTACTCGGGCTAAAAACTGAAAAAAAGTAATGAGTTCGGTATAAAAATAGTATAGTTACTCAAAACAGGTTATGACGTACGTAGTACCCACGAGTGAAGCAAGTAGCGGCGGTTCTGTATCGTTATTCGAAAAATGTCGGGTCTCGAGAATATCGTGCCAAACTAACCTAGCCGCAGGAGGTTTACGTAATTGGCTGGACACGTGCCATGACGCCGGTGTTGCCATTGGGAAGGCGCGGGACGAGGAGGAGGATGAGAATCAGAACGAGACAGCGCCGGTACAAGGAGGATCAAGCAGACACGAGTTTCTTGGAGATTCACGACTTGCTCTTGGAAGTCGTTTGGCTCGAGGCTCGAGATTCGCCAAGCTGTTGGAGAAGCTCTCGAACTTTCAAGGAAAGTTGGTTGAAATTCCAAAAAAAAAAAGAAAGATACGAAGAGAACGAAAATATATATAAATTGAGCAGGGAATTGACGAAATCTTTTTTTCTTAATGATTCTGTTCCGCAATGAGAAATTCTGTTATTGCGCTTCCTCGCTTTGCAAAAACCTCCGAGGAAAGGAAGACCCGCCAGCTAGATGTTACGTATTGCGTATTGCATAATGCGATCGCCCGATCGCATTACCAGAAAAGGAAATACGAGGAGAAGCTTTTCCCGGTAGCAGAGAGGAGTTGAGTAAAGCTCTTCGAAAACGAGGAGCTTACGAGGGATACACGTAATACTGGCTATTCGCATATTCATCGTTGCGTCTCTCACTTTCGATTGATAAAATTATTTTTCATTATGACAGTCAGCTTCGCGTAGACCTACGTGATCGAAATTTATGCCATCGCAAGGCAGCCTTGAAGCCAGACCGCTCGGACCGGTTGATTGTTCCCGAGAGCAAATTCTCTAGATCGATATGATCGATGATTCGATAATCACTGATCGAACGTGCGGACTCTTACTTGCTGATCAGCAGCGAAACTGCTTCTGGCAAAGATTCCTATCGCTATATTCAGTTACGTGTGACTTGAGAAGCGGTGGGCACTGTGTATGTACGGATCCGTCTGCGACGTAGGTACGTACATATGGGGACCTTGTATATGTATACATTGGATAACGCCTTGAAGAGTATTCGAAGAAGTATCGCATTCTGTGAGAATTACTGTGGATCGTATCTTGCTGGCATCAAGATTGCAAAGTCCTCGATCACGTTCTCAAAATTTTAATCTTGCGTCCTTGGACAACGTCTGCTGGTAAATAAAAGTTATCGCGACACGACTCACCGGACGAGGGAACAATTGTTGTGATCGATCCGACGAACAATCGGTAATGAGTAAATGGCTTCAAGGCATTGTCCTACTTTTGGTGAGTCTCGAAGGAGACACCGAGCGAGTACAGAGTGAGAGAAGCATGGAACTTTCCTAGAGGGGATCGAGAAGGGACGAAGCTTGATAAATCTCATACTCACAATACACTCTTTCGCGACTCTCCACAGGTTGAAGTATCCCGAATTCAGCCTGAAAGTTCTCGTGAACAGTCCCGCCAAGCCGTGCTGGCCTGCCTCTTCGTTTGGATTCCTCTTGCCTTTGATCTTGCTCAAGATTCCTTGCTGTCTTCGAGACTCGAATGTGAACTGGGTAGATCCTCCCTCGTCCTAGCGATGCTCCCGTTCCGATTTATCGGGGAATTAGAGTACTCGCGACACTCTCCGGTACGTTGGGCTTCTTTCCCGTGATTGTATTTTTCTTCTTACGAAATGCGATCCTCGCGGAGACTCCGCCACGTCCCCGTCGTTTAGTAAAAACGCGTATAGAATCTAATTAGATGCGCAACGCAGGAGGGAAATAAAGTAAAATTATAGAAGAACGGAGGAGCTTCCGTCCGGTACAAAAAGTGCTTCCGGATGGTATCTCACTCTCTACTGCGTGGTCGGTCCGTCGCTCTCGCAGTCGGTCCGTCCTGACGAGATCAAACTTTCAATAACAACGAATCGTAGATATCGACTAGTTCTGGGTTCATGTCCCTATCACGGCACATCATAAGCCCTTTCCAGGCGAAGGGCACTGCCTATGGTTGCTTCAGGAAGTGTGTCGACACCAGCCGTAGCGTAAGCATCGAGGGCTTGCACGGAAATTAGTGCTAGGTCACCACTTCGTACCTAGCCCTAGCATCCTCTACCCTCTTGCGTCTTTAGTTCAGCTTCCTTCTGGAACAGAAGAGAAACGATTGGCACAGGTTAGCACTTTCGTCGTTGCTGATCATTTTGTTTCAATAGTAAAAAATTCATCTTTTCTTCCAATAGCTTCAGGTCGAGGGAACGATGCGTCACGGGGCTAACCGATTAACTCTCTCTAAGTTCGTCCATCCTTTCACAAGGAAATTCACAAGGGATTGTCAAAGAAAAGGAGGAAGAAAGCGCAAGCAGACAGTCTACGGTATCCGTTTCCGAGGACTTTTGAAAATTTTGAAAATTTTTATGCACTGGACGAAAAAAATAGTTAAGGACTTAAGAGACTCAAAGTCAGTTGGGAAGCAAAGGTAATGCTGATAGGGGATTTCAGAATGAAGTAAATTCGGTGCAAGACTGCACGAGTAATAATTAGCGTGAGTGAGGATGAAAGGCTCTACCTGAGAACGATCGGAAAATTCATGCCGACACACGAGAAACACAGATGGTCGCAAGTCGCACTGCTTCCAATCTCGATGTCTACTTCTAACCCGGCTTAAATTCCACCACCAGTGCAGAGCAGTCTTAGTACCTCACGACGTAACTTAACCGAACTCCCTCTTGCTTCCGCCAACAACCCTCTTGGCAGGAGATATTTGCAAGGGCGCATGCACCCTCGCGGAATCAATAGAGAGTGCGGGGTCACGTGAGATACAGCAAGTAGGCGAAACGCGAAGCAGGAACATCGAGAATGGAGGGAACAGGGGTGGCTGAGTGTGGAGGAAGGATAAGGATAGAAGATCCGTTTGTTGACGATTATGTCACGTATAAACAAACCGATCTGCTTTACTAATTCTTCATATATATTCGACCTGTACAATAATCGATATTCTTATAAAATATTGTCGTTAGCAAACAATATGCTAACGAGAGATGCATTGGTAAATTTTTAATATTTATAATATACTCAAAACTTCGGTACACTTCGAATATGTCTGAAAAAATCGTCCGGGACATCTGCGCTACCTTTAATGAAAGGACAGTGAAAGGGTTTTTGAAATCGGAAGGGAAAGTCGAATTTGTCGCCGCTAATTCTAAGTTCACAATTCCGGGCGACGCAAAGGGGCGTCCCTTCTAACAACAAGGTACATCTGTCGCGTGGCGTAACGGCGCAGAAATGGTGACCTTCAACTTGAGTCCCTTCCACGTAGGACGCATCAAGGTTCCAAGCTCCCTCGACGCCATTCACTGTCAAGTATTATGAATAGGGTAGCAGCATCCCTCGGATTTTACTTATTCCTATGTATTTCGCTATGGAATATCGATTCGCATGCCCTTCCAGTCTCTAGTGCTGTTCATCCTGACACACTGGTATCCTTACTCCAGCCAAGGTCGTCCTGTATGGTATATTTTGGGACTTCTCCGAAAACTACGCACTCAGTGAATCTACAACATGGACCGATTTCATTTTCTTATTCGTGGCATTAACAATGGGAAAATGTACCCAATTGACTGATTCCAGAGCATTGGATATGGCCGTGCGACATGCACGTCGTATATCTCTCATTACATCTTGCGGGGGTAATGAACTCTTGCAGCACTGCTTCGAGTGCGTATATGTGTATAGATAGTTACACCTTTCAATAAACATTCACGTATTCCATAGAGACAGTCTCTCGTTTCTACCTCATATTCAGGTTGCGCACTTGGAGCTGCTGCATTTCATAAGATCTTGAATCTTTTTGGAACGTTCCTGACTCAGCTATTTTGTTACCTCATGTTCGATGGAAATTTGAAGATTTGCTATACAATTCGTTTGCTCTACAAAGTATACTGTGTACTAATGATTCATGGTACGCAATTCTTAGTTATTGATTACATCAACCGGTCGTGTGTTCATTGTTAGGGCAAGACTAGGAGTTTAATGGTTTAAAGGAATAACCTTTTCAGGTAACAGTTGTACCGTTGTTACTTTAATAATGGGTGAAAAGGATTAATTTTCAAGAAAAACCAATCACGCGATGCAACTCCCAGATCTGATTGTAATGCCTCACTGCACTGAAAACATTGGGTGCATTAAGTGATCGCGGAAACGCACGTTGTTCCTTACTTTAACACGACATTAAATGTAGCCGTATGCACACGTTTATGCCTATTTTCATCTTTTCAGATAAATATCTCAGAGAGGTACAACGACCGAAATCGTTACTGCTTCCTGTGCTTTATCGTCCTAATATCGATTAGTGCAAAAGGTCCACGAGTCCCGTATAAAACACAGCGATTGAAGTCCATTCCGTGTGAGAATAAATTAGCAAAGCCATAGAATAGCATCAAGCAATCCAGCCAAGCAGCAAAAGCGAGAGTCGTTTGGCTGCCTGTCTACTTTGCCATAAAGAAAAGGCATACCAAAATTTAGATTGAATGGTAGAATACGACACGCGCAATTCTCCCACAGTCCTGAATCAAAGTGAACCTCTTCGAGGGAAAGACTCACGTTTCTCACAACGAGGAAGCACACACTGTTTAATTCTAAGCACGGAACACGAATTCAAAGACGCCTGACTTTTTGGAAGACCGGATACATCAGCTCCCAGTAGGAACGTAGTACGCACTAGCGGTGATGTGCCGGCACGAAGACGATGGCCGCCATCTTTGCTGCATAATACAGTAAAAGGGACCCGTAGCCCGCAACACGACATGTTCAAGCCTGTACGTGGCTTCACCGGTCGCATGCTCTTGCATTCTTTTCGTCCTATGGGCTACCATAGGCTGAGCCATGGCCATGGGTACAACTCTGATCGAAGAAAAAAAACAAATGCAATGGTGCACCAAATATACAGTTTTGACAAAGAGTCCGCTCGTCCTTATTTAGAATTCTTTGTGAAGGAAAAATTTTATAAAATATTTTTAACTGATTCTTCTACCCCCATTATTACCTACTAATGATAATTACTACGTGAGTTCAAGCGTAGAAAAAGGGCGTGCATATTGTTAGGTTCCGTTTACTCTTTTATTTATCTCCGTCTAATCCTCACCCCCAATAAATGCGCATCGATATTTTCCTTAGCTTTAAACTAATTAATAATCTGGACATTGATCATGAGACTTCTTGCAAGATACATTCCTGAACATCGATTTCATCTACGAAGAAAATTTATCAATACTTCCTGTAAGCCGCAAAATATAAAGCTGTTGGAAGATGATGTTTTCAGTCGTGATCGCGCTAGGCCACTGCTGCCAGCGAGTGAGAGGGTCTTATGGGCGACTAGCGCTAGGCGCAAGTGAGACGCTCTTATACACAGTGTGGGCTATCTCTGGGACTCCACTAACTGCGAGTGAGAGGGACTTATGCGGTATCTGTATGAAATTGTCTGAGACACTCTTATACGGGACGCCTGGAGTCTGGACAGACATGCCGTCCCTAGCGAGGGGAATAGGCTACCCTCTCTACGCGGCGGCCTGGCTTGCTCGCCACCAGTCGCTACTGCCGGTCGCCCTACTCCCGCTTCCTACTAGCTCCACCCAAGGACGGCATTAATGTCCCGCAGTGTACACAGTGATGGAAACTTTATCTTTTTATAGGATTAACGAACTCACCTTATTTGCTGTTTCTTCTTGGACTTTTCGATGATACGCCTCACAGGACACGCGCGATTTTCGATCTGAACGATTAGTAAAATATTAGTTAATACTCGTCGGGTACACAACACCTGATTACATTTGCCAGTGAAAACGAATAATTTGGCAGAAATCTAAACGAAAGCGAAACTTCTATCACGAACAATTGGTTGAGATAACGTTTTATTTATAAGCAATACAATATAGTGTTAAAATAGGTACACAATATAATAACATATATGCAAAGGATTATTCAAGGGCATGTTCCAAAACCTTACTTTTGTACTTTAGAGTATTGGTCTGCTTATGTCGAACGTAGGTCGGTACATAGAGACAAAATGATACTCTAGTGTACAAGAGTAGATCTTCATGCACGCCCCACGAGTGTTGTACCAACGAATAAGCTAACTTCAGTCAGTTCAATTTCCTAAATAACCCTCATAACATATATAGAAAGTGAGGAATAAAGTTTAAATTATGAATATCATATTTTCAAAAACGTAATTTCATTTCTTTAGAAATTAAATATGTATAGATATCAATATAACCTATTTCCTTTGCACTTTGATAATATATCACGAACGTTCTGCGTAAGTTCTTTGGAAATCAACAATTAAAGAGATTTAAAAATTCGAATTAGTTTTTTAAACTAAAATATACTAATGGCTGTTCAGCTAATATAAGGCAATAATATTCTGACATATAAAATATCTGTACGTAAAAGTTGATACAATCATTTAAATCAATCAAATTTTTCTTGTAGCAGAACTCCGATATTTCATCTTTACCACGGTGCAAAGGATCTCTTCATTTTCTCCCTTAAAGATGCAAAAAGAGTACCGTGCGTACGGCTTATTATTTCATGGATATGCTGACATGCAGGTCATCGTGAAATGCTATCGAAATCTCTACACGAAGAACATAGGATTTTCAAGGATTTTCTCGTTCAGCGTCAGTTTAGTGCGCTGTTCCTCGGATAGATTATTTAAATTGATATTCACCCTAAAATAAAAAGAATTTTCAGTTCAATCGAACATTCTGCTAGTTGCTCCCCACATACTTACTGCATGCGGATTCGACGAGAGCAAACACTGTGCAAAGTTTAAAATCAATGAAAATATAGTTTAGTTGTACTTACTCTTGGGTAAGAGCTCGTGCTCTAAATGCAGCAAGATGGGCATAATAGGTGGGTGTTGGGTAGCTGACCGATCGCGTGCATCGTGAGAACATGTGGCACAAATAATAAGTCAGTTCCTCGATTTCATCTTCCGACATATCGCTGTCATCCCAGAGACATCTGTACTTCGTAGGTCGTGCAGTTCCCTAAAAGAATTCAACATTTTAAAAGTTTAATGAAAGAATTGGAGAATTTAAAAGTTTACCTGTATGCTCGCATGTGACACAAGGTAGAAGTCTATGTGGGACGGATGAGTTATTTTGGTATCTACCACCGTCCCAGCCTGCACGTTTTTATTCTTGTGCCAATCATCGGAATTCTGTGGAGAGGTTGGAAAGAGACGCACATGATGTCTTTTTTGCACTACAAGGAAAGTGATTGGTGGTTTATATCCGCCATCCTTTTGCATAGATTGGCAGGCTCGCTGAATAGCCCTCAATTCGTTATTCATTACCATTGAGAATTGCCCTTCACTGACCCCATCTCTGAAATTTTAAGAATAATGTTAAGCGGCAGTCTCGAATTTACTTTTTTGAATTGACGTCTGAGGAGAATTACCGATAGAAAATAATTTTACGAGGAATATATCCTGTTTTCCTGTGAAAAATGCGCAATTGAATTCGGATTATTTCTTCGAGGTCAAGAATTATCTCTTCTCTTGGTGGTTGAAGACGAATTTCAATGCTGAATTTAAACACTCTCGGATCGTGACTGGCGGCCACCTAGATGAAAACAGGAAAAAAAAGAAACATTGAATTGATTATGATTAAACAAACAATAAGGTAAAGATAAATAATTACGGCTGCTATTGATGGAATGTCCATGGCGTCTGGCGAAGGGTGCGTTACATCTGCTCCGACTATCATACAGGGCTCTAGAAGGACACGAGGTCTACAAAAAAAAAAGTTACGAAGGGGTAAATAAAATAGGAATATTAACATCATAGCATTAATTTTAAAAGTAAAGGTGTACCACGTACTTCGTTCTCGTAATGAATGTATGATTAATTCCATTGAGCTTGGAATTAATCTTCAAAAGAATATTTCCCACTGTTGCTTCAGAGAGTCTTGAAATAGTCCGTGATTTAACACATTGCGTTAAACATCCGACACGAAGTTCTGCGACTTGCTTTACTTTGCCTAAAATACAAATATACGAAAGTAATACATAAATATGGGGTCTGAAAAACTGAATTCTTTTTTTTTTTACTTACTGTAGGTATTGCCCGAATCCGGAACAATTACTATAACAAGTCGTATTTGCTGTTCTTTTTGTTTTTCAAAAAAGTTAACAATGTCTCGGAAGTTACGAGCGTTGAGGTTGCAGAATGGAGTTTTAGCTGCTCCAATCTCCATGCCATATACTTTTCCTGTGTATTATAATAGATTAAAAGAAACATCGCTTAAAAGATGTTATCATCATTTTTTTTTTCGGAATACGAACCAACTCTGCATAATTCGTCGTGAAGTTGATAAATGTCACGTTCTCGAACGAATCTCTCGTTCAGATTGAGGATCGTCCAACTGTACTCTGGTAAGTGAGCAGGATTAAGAAATTTGTCTGCACGCCAAACGCCTTTTCGGACTTGGACTGGACGACTAGCGTTTTGATATAGAATGTCCGGTGGATCCAACACACGCGCTGCTACCTTCTCGAGGCCACCACCGATTGAGAGTCCAAATTCTTTCACACTAGGATCGTTGTTATAATTCATGTTGTTGAACTGTAAATTGGTAAATTTTAAGGTACTGAAATTCTATGTTACTAGAAATATGTATATATAATTTCTTACTGCATTTATTATTTTCCGTTTGCGTTCTTCGGTACTAGTTGCAGCCTCCCTGATCATTTTAGAAGTCTGCGTCTCATCCATTTTTCTAGTCAATACTTGACCGGGCGCAAGAGTGCAGAGCTGTGTAAAATGTTTAAAGTAAATTATGTGTGTCACGTCAAGGGCTAAATGAATACTTTACCTCAGCGGGATAACAAACGGATCGTTCCCTAGAGCCTACCCAGAGACAAGGCATTCTGGGAAATCGCAAAGTATAATTTCTACTGGTTCTATAATACTCGAAGACAGTCGTTTCTTTTCCATCATCCAGTTTGAATTTATAATTCTGTGCACACTCTACTAATCCATTTACGCGTTGAGTACGTCGTGAGGTTGGCAATCCTGGTATCTCATACACAACCTTAAGCCCCTTCAAAAACTTTTCAATGTCATATTTTGCTCGTTCTATGTCTTCCGGGCCGATTTCTCTTGGCCTTTCCTGCCGGTATCTACCGCCTCCTCCTCCACCACCACCACCGGCAAGCTCTTTCATTAACTCAATTATGTTTTGTGCAGTGGGAAATCCTTTGTGGGCCACTGTATGCAAAATCTTTGTGTTATAAGCAATTATCTTTATTATTTATTAGTTATTTAATTACCATCAATGTTCAGAAGAGGCTTCCAGCCTAATACTGCTGATTGAAAGGCGCCAACCCAAAGTTCTAAGCCTCCGCTCAAAGATACAACCTGTCCTTTGGGTTGTTGAAACAAATTTCTACCCACCTACACATATTATTACCGTCAGCAAACATTTTTTAATTAAAAAACGAAGGGCAATCTTGATAATTTGAACCTTACCGTTACGCTGCGCGCCGCTGCTCCACATCGTAAAATAACGTCAAGCACTTGCATGCCTAATTGATCTCGTTCGACAATACCAGGTTGCACATTGCGTAACCATGACAGATCAATTGTGTTCACTTTTTTAATGGTGACTTTTACGTTTCTCTCTTGCTGTCTTTCAGGATCAAACACCGTTATATCACAAGACATCTGTTAACAAATAAATTAGTCTTAAGTCACGTATAAATGCATGAAAATAATATTCTGGAGTTTGATTCTACCTCGTTTCCAAAAGGTAAGTCGTTGGCACTAAATAAATTCTTCTTTCCATCATACGCTGGAAAACGGTTAGGAAAATATTTTTTTCTAGCTGCTTCATAAGCGAGTTTCAACAAAAACTTGGGTTTGTCTGGCTTAAAATCTACGTCATAGTGAATGGCGTTCGTATTAAACTTTGGTCCAAAATTTATAGATATCATATTGGTCTCTACTTCTATCGGACGTCCTTTTGTTCCAGCCTTTAGTGGGTTCTTTCTTACAGGTATAGGAAGAGACATTCCAGATCCTTGAATTTTGCGAGGAGGCGCTACAACCGCCTGAAAAATGATTATGTGTCAATAAGGGTGACATGACTATTAATTTGGCTTATAACATTCTATCATACCTGGCGAGGTGGTTCTCGCATTGGCATTGCTGCTGGAGTTGGTCTAGGTGATGGTTTTGATGCTTTTGATGTTTCTTGTGGTGGGCTAGTAGGTACTCGAGGAATTTGCTGTGGTGGCTGATAGAGGCATGAGATAAATTTTATTAAATAGGATGTAAACATTTTTATTAATTAGATGGTTGTCACTTGAAAAGTGTATTCGGAGTTTACCTGAGCCTGGTACAGATGAGGTGGTCTTTCGGTGCGTTGTTCTTGTCCTGCACCTCTCCCTCTGCCACCACGACCCTGTTCTTGTCTATAACTCTGACCCGATTCTGGAGCTACAGTACTAACCCCTTGATCTCCCAGACTGGTTCTCTGTAGACTTTCACCTAATTCCCTTTCCTTTCTTCCATCACCTGCACCTCTTCCTACACCTCCTCCTATGCCTCTTCCTTCACCTCTCCATCTTCCATCACCTTCACCTCTTCCTACATCTCTCCCTCTTCCATCACCTCTTCCTCTAGATCGTCCTCTTCCAATTCCTGTGCTACTACCTGCTGTTCCCGATGCTCTTTCTCCATGCTGTGGTAAAGGCTGTGGTGGGCCACGTTGTTCCTGTTGTGACTGTGGTGGGCCACGTTGTTGCTGTTGTGGCTGTGGTGGTTGCTGTTCTGGTCTTGACGAAGAACCTGTCGTTGAAGCAGATTCCTCCTGCGACTTTTTTTTCCCTATATCAAGTATTTATTTTACAAAATTTTCTGAAACTATTTCATCTGTAGTCTTGCCTTCGACTAGAGTTAAAGCATGACGCAAGAGGGGCAAAAATTGCATATATCACAAAGTCAGACAATAGTTGGCTGCTTACCTTTTCTTCCCATCAGGATGATTTACTTCGAACGTTGGGTTGATCCGAACTGCAGAAAAATTGATTAGACTAAGTAATTACTTCTGTGTTGTCTCTAAGAGTTCAACCGTCTCCAGACTCTGAACGAGAATAATTATTCTCGGTCCTCTTATAATCCACAGAAGTCGGGGTTTTACTCAACCGTTCTTAATGGCGTTCCACATGAAAATTCCTAAGTTTGACTTACGGCGTGGATTGGCGTTAGAGTCGACTGGTGTGAATCACAGCGGATGGACTAATGAGAGTGTCCCAATAATCCAACAACTTTTAGCTGTGCGTACATTGCATCGCACATTGGTCGTTAATATAATTTTCGTTTGAACGTGAATTGCTTTTTTTTTACGTTAATATTAAGGTGGTTTCATAAACTGTATAATGTAAAATAGCATAAATTTGTAGTATATAAAAACTTATAATCGTAAATTATAAGCGCGGGTCATTTGTCAACTCTATTTTATATGTATAATATTACTTTTTACACAAAATTAAATTTCTTAAGCTCGGCACATCACATGTCACTTCATTCAACGCTAGAGGCGCTGTTTACAGCACCAATAGGGTTTCCTTTCCAATATGTATCTATTCACAGAATGTGTCAAAATTTCTTAGGCTAAATTCCCATAAGGCCTGGCATATCTCCTCATTGAAGAAGGCAGCCATAATAAAAGAAAGGAAGGATACTCAGGCTCTAAGGCTCGAACGGAGTACTTTAATTGGTGGATACCAGGTGTTGGGAGAAAAATTGTCACTTGCCACTAATCAAAATCCTTCGTCCAAGCGCTGGTGCCTGTATGAGGGTCTAGTTTTAAACAAAGTCATAATGCAAATTTTATTGACAGATCTCGTCGGAGGAGCAAGCCTAAAGAAAAGGAAGGAAGAAACGCAAATTTTAGGCCTGTTTTTTGTAGCTTTTGTAAAGGCCCAGTCACACTCGTCAAACACGCGTTTGAACGCAACTTTCGACCAATAACACAAGGTGAATTCTATGTTGCGTTGCACTACTGGCCGACAGTTCACGTTCGAACGCGCGTTTGGGGTATGTGACTGGGCCCCAAGTGGTTTGCAGCACTGTAGGTGTGTTCGAAAATCAGTCCAGAGCCCTGAGAGCATCGTTGTATCTCGATCAAATGCATTCGATAAACAGAGAAACAACGATATTCTTATTGCTTTCGGCTCATTTTCAAACATATTTATAATTCTCTGAAGCACATAAAGATACCTTCCCACATCGAACGGAACAGATTTCAAAAACGCTAAAAAGAATACATCCTGTAGGATACGTTTCAAAATTTATTGTCAGTACTTGGAGTATTCATCATCTCTCTGTCTATCTGCATGCAACATTGAGACGCAAAAATTCGCGTAATATTGACAGTGAATTTGAGAATCTACCTTTAGTTAAAATGTGACGTTAGATCCTAAGCGTCGCTACTAGCTTGCACTTTTAAATTTGAATACTATCACTGATAACGATATTTGAACAAAATAAATTAGTCACTGCTTCCACTGAACAGAGTCTTATTATTGGCAGTATCGTCTCGGCACTGGAATGCTGTTCGAGAAAGTTCGAGAAAAAGCTCGCCGTCGAATTATATTAAAAATAGAAGAACCATGTATGAAGCACACGTTGACATTAATATTAAAAGCATGTGGCATATACCCATGAAACGATACTGTTCTCGAGGACGTGGTACAGACTGGATTGCAGGTTGCGACAGAATTACGAATTGATCGAAGACCATGGTAGAACAATTCCCTTATGAATAGTAATGTGAAAACCTATTCCATTTTTCTGTTCGCAAATGTCACATTTCTTATAGAATAATGGTGGAACGAGACTTTATGAAACGAGCTGAAGCATTACTTATTCCTGAGAATAATGATCAGTTCAATTGTATGTGATTCGGTATCTGTACTCACCTATAATGTATTATCGACATCAATGATTTCTCGGCGAAGCTCTCAGTTGCGATAGGCTCGTACTGTCAGAAAGACTTTTTACAAAAAAAGCAACGGTCGATCCTACCTTACTTAAAAGTAGAATCGTCATATTGCATTGCTGCACTTTAAACCATTGCGATGACGGTACATAGTCTGTCACCAACTGGAAATTGCAAAGGCCTTAAGGAAGGTCAAGCCTCTTACTCCTGGTGCGTTCGCAATTTGCGCACATTAATGGTCTTCACGGGAATCTGGCCGATGGAACCGCCAACGCTTCTTTTGAACGTGTCTTATTATTACAACGCAACAACGTTCACCCTTGTCATTTGCGGAATGATGGCCGGCGCTATCAGTGTGATGGACAACTACGATCTGCTCGTGGACAATCTCAGTATAAATCTGATATTTACCGAAATCTTCATAAAGTGCATTCTGATAAAGATTTATTCGAAACCACTCTCAAGAGTACTGTCGCTCATGAAATTCGATTGGATAAGTCTAAAGGGAAGGGGTCCCATTCACGGAGACGTACTTCAAAGCGAGAATATTATGCTCTTGCATGCCAATATTCCAAGGATATTTTTCATCGCCTACACCGCCCTCGCACTTGTGGCTTGGACCGCTACAGTGGTGGCGGCTGTTTCCAGAAAAAGTTCAAAAATGCAAATAGATGCGAGTAATGCATTTCCGATGCCCTCTTGGTATCCGTTCGAGATGCACTCTACTCCAAATTACGAAGTATACTATACGTCTAATAACAAATATGTCTCTATTATAAATATTAACTTTTTACTAGCTGCGTAATGCATTATGCTTGTTTCGAGATAGATGCTACTTACGTTTCAAGTGATAATAGGATGTTCAATAGCAGTGAGTAGTGCAGCAGTGGACAGTCTACTCGTGACTGCAGTTTTCCACGTTTGCGGTCAATTGGAGATTTTACGGTTTGTAAATGTCAGATAATGTACAGTGAAACTGGAAGCAACAACCAGAGCTATTGTCTTTTTATAGAAAATATTTTGAAAATTTACATTCATCGGAAACGGCGCTGGAGGAAACTGAGAAGAAGGTGGCTGCTGCGATCAAGAGACATTCGAAACTGATCGAGTGAGTTTTCGTTTTTTAAATTGCATTTTTCTTTAGTATCATACGAGATACTGTTGTCTTGATTCAGTTTGTGCGACCTGATCGAGGATTGTTATAGCCAAATAACTCTTAGTCAACTCCTAGTAGCCAGCTTGAACGTTTGTCTATCAGGATTTGGATTACTATTAGTACGTGAATCATGTATTCATCAATCATATCGCATATTTTAATTATACGCATAATTATTTATCATTTTTAATAGGCTATAGAATCGGGTAATATTAAAGTATTTCTCAAGTTTCTACTCCTCCTAATTGCGATGCTTCAACAGATACTCATATATTCTGTTACTGGGGATTATTTGTCATCTAAGGTGAGCCGATTTATGTGAATTTATTTTTTTTTTTTTTGGAAAAATCTGAATTAAAGATAAGATAACATATATTTCGTAATATTTAGAGTACAGCCATTCGAAGTGCCATATACAAAATGAAATGGTACGAGTTGCCACCTTCGCTAAGTAAAGCCCTAATGTTAATCGCGATTAGGGCAGAACGGCCGTTGGTCGTTACAGCTGGAAAATTTTTTCCTATGTCTTTGGAGAACTTCACGCAAGTAAGTAGCCACTGTGCTAAACTGCAAAATCGAGTAGGTCTGGTACGAAAACTTGTTGTAACTTTCAGATAATAAAAACGGCAGCATCGTACCTGTCGGTGATGTGGGCTGTTCACAAGAAGTAAATAATTTACAAAGTAAAAAAGAGATGTATCTCGTATACGTATCGTACCTTCGCTATTACGATAGTAGTAAATATTACAGTGACCAGAGGATATTACTTTGAAAAGGGATAATCTGGTCTCTGTAGGTGAATCAATTGACTGGGAGTATGGATTACAAAATATATTATAAATACTCTTTTTTTTTTGGAGTGAGGGATAGCTCGTTAATTAGAATGGTACTTTCGTTGTTATATTTATAATAAGATAATAAGATTATACAATGACACTCTACAAGTTAGTTTTGATAAAAAAAAGGGGAGAGAAAAGAAAAGAAAGCGTCGTGCGCTCGACGGACGCAACTGCTAATTAAAGAAGGACGCGCGATTCTCGTTAGCATCGGTTAATAATATAATTATGATGCATGGTAATAATGTACAAATATTCTCGAGCGCAGCGGGCCGAGTACTTTTTCGTTATTATCGGGACATACTGTACGATCTACTTAATCTCCTACTCGTTAAAGGTGTAAAGTTACGATTATCGGTTAATATTTCATTCCCATAATAACGGAGAATGGGGACGCCCTTTTATTGAGCTCCTCAAGGCGATCGATTAAGTACTACGGTTTTGGCACTTAGATAAGATTTATGATTGCACTAAGTGGTAAGTTAGGCCTACCGAGAAGGTTCTCCTTCCTCGCGAATATCTTCCTTTTCTTTTCTCGACCTTCGTCTCCTAACGAGACAACCTCAATTAATAGCAGTGTCCGCTATTTCATTCTGGAATATGAATTGCTTTACTCGATCTTCATTTCGGTAGGTTGGTCCACCTTCTCGGTGTGATAATCTTACGTGTTTCATTCTACGTTCTTTACGTGATTTTGTTAAATTTCCAGTTAGAAATTTGATTGACGCGTGATCGAACGTTGTTCCGACATATTTGAGTTCTTCAGTCCAAAAATGATTGATCCGATTTCTGGAACGATCCCGATCATCGAATTCTTCTCAATCGGCAATCCTTGACGTTCTTATGAAAATCTAATGCCCGGCAAGAATCAACATTGAGAATCTTATGAGGCTGAACGTCCCGATTGACTTCGGATCAGTCAGATTAAGACTATTTATCTTTTGATAGATTACTTTTCACTGGTTCGGTATAGTCGTTCGCGGGTCGGCTGGTCGGCTCGCCGGCCGCGAAGAGAACTGCTTTGACAAATCGCTTTCGCGGTGTAAAGCGATGCAAAACCGCGGACGAGAGCAAACGGATGAGCGGAAGTTGATCTGGAACTTTATATTGAGCAAGATGGGCAGGATAGCTCAATCAATCTTTGCTTTGTGGGAAGAGACTGCCGATTCCGCTCAGAGTTACACGCATTGAAGTGTATAATACTGTTTAACAACGATCGATCACGAAATTGCCTGATGATCACTCATCGATTACGTAACTGATCTGTTAACTTAATTAAATACTCCAAGCGAATCTTATGGTAAAACTTATGAATGAGGGATGAATTATGGAGAATGACAAATGGGATTTTTATACTACGTATAGTATAGATCGCCCTCCACGGCTCTTCATAATTTCTATAGTTACTTAACGTTCTTTTTTCTTTTTCTTTTGTGTCTTAGTGTTAAGTAAGGCTCGATTCTAGGTATATTACAGGAAACTAGAACTGGACTATGAAATCTGCTTTTCTTCTAATGGAACATTTACCGCTGTTCATTAGATTTTTCCAATGGCTCTGAATTACTACTTCAGCTGAGACGTCCTATGAGGTCTTATAGGGATTTTGCGAAATTTATACCAATCCGAAATCTGTGTGCACGGTGACGTCACAGTTATTGGGTTTCTCGGCGGCAGCCATATTAACTTCTACGAGGGTGTCGACACTGTTGATCGGACAGCCTTTCAGGATTTTCTGTGCGGCGAGACTCGTGAATTGAACCTGCATGTCGCTGAGACTTGGATAGGAATAAAGATCACTGCGGCTCACAGTCTTCTCTAGGTTAGGTTCAGAGCCCTGAGGAACTCGCTGCTTGCTGGACTCAAGATTCTCAATATAAACATTATTAAAGGATCCGCCGAAGCCATCAAAGGATTTTGTGGGTGATGGCGGATTCGAGGCGATGTTGTTCTTCGATCCAGGACGTAGAAGATTTCTGTAACTCAGCGCATCTTTCGAAAGGGATAAGCTCAGTTTCCGGGAGTTGTTCATTGCATCGTTCGTGTTCTTAGAAGTCGGTAAAGTGGAGGGCGGAAGCTCGTTTGGGTGAACCAATGAATTTTTGTCGATATTATGCGTGGACCCATCTATCAGGTGAGCCTGACTGTTATTCAGGCGATTTGTTAATTTTAATTTGTTTGGTGGGTCTTCTTCGACTTTCGGTTTGTTCTCCTTGTCAGACTCCGATAAAATTGGCCTTATGTCCTTCGACCCGTAGAGAGACGACGGCCTTTCGAGTTTTATTGGCTTCCAATCATCTTTGCTCGGTTTGAACAGTTTCTCCGGACTGTCTTCCGTTCTGCCCTTGTACACCTTCTCACCCACTAGTTCTCTCTCTTGCTTCTCTTTCGTGCCGCCTTCTTTATCAGAATTATTTTTACCCGTGCCGTTCTCGAAAGTGATTACCGATCTCATGGGCGAATTGTTCTGGTGAACGTAAATTTTGGTGCCTGGTGATCCCGATATGGTCGTTGTACTCGTCGCGTTCGAGGCCAAGGTCACGCTGCTCTGAACCGATCTTTGCTCCTGTGGCGGACTCACGGGACTGACGTTCGTAGAGACCTGAAGGGTTATCGAATTCTGTGCTTCCTGGAGAGGAGTCAATGAGCCCTGCTGAATGATCTTCAGAGGCGAAGACTTGACTGGCAGAGTAGACGATTTCAATGGCGACGAGGAAAGTTTGCCACTGGAGGTCGATTTCCCACTGGAGTGTGTAGAATGGCCGGAAGACGTTTTCTGCAGAGTCTATTGAAATAGAGACGTTTACGTCAGTACAGAGAAAGGCCAGAGTCCGTACCCAAGTATGAAGAACTATGAATGATCTTTACCTTGTGCTGCGGAGAACTATTGGACGACTTGGTGCCACTTCCGGTAGAGTCGTGACTTGGTCTTCTCGATCCGTGACGAGTACTTGATCTACCTAAAGTAGCATTCTTAGCAGGACTGCCATTTGTGGCTCTCACAGAACCAGAACTGCCGCCGCTCCTACTAGGCGAAGAGTTCGTCGAGGTCTTGCCGTTCTGAACTTGGCTTCTGTTCTGATAAGGCTCCTGACTATTGCTGGGTGGTAATACGGAGGCTCTTGAAGTGCATCTACTTAAGCTGGAACATTTGGATCTCGGCAAAGTCGAACATGGAGACCTGTGACGTCTCGAACTCCTCGGTGTCGAATTTGCCAAGAGACTCGACGAATCCCCACTGGCTTGACGACGATGTCTTCTGGGTAGAGTAGCAGATCGTACCGAGCTCGAGTCATCCCAGACTTGAAAACTGGCCTGAGACTGATTCAAACCTTCCATCATCTGAAGAAGACCAAAAGTCAGGTATCAATTGAGCTCTCTAAATTGATTTCGAAGGTAAAGCTTAAAAGTCAAGCTCACCGATGGACTAGCTGCTCTGGTTTGCGTCGCAACGCTGTGCAGATGCACCACTCGCGGATTGAACCATTCAGTCGGTGGATACTGGGCACTGAAAGTTCCCATCAGAGGTGTGCCCTTCCTGCGGGAGCTACGTCGAAAGAGCCTGGACAGCAGACCTATCTTCTCTGAAAAAATCCCCGAGAGGCCTTGAAGAAGGAAACAGAGGTAGACATAGGTATAGTTGCGAGAGAAAATGGGGAACTGGGAAGGGTTTGCCAGCTAAGGGTGACTAGAAGCATCCACAGAGAGAGAGAGAAAAAGAGAGAGAGAGAGAGAGAGAGAGAGAGAGAGAGAGAGAGAGAGAGAGAGAGAGAGAGAGAGCGAGAGCGAGAGAGAGTAGTCCACAAGTTTACCCCATGGTTCAAGTGCTGATCTCTAGATCTCCAGACTCTCTACGTAAAGCCAACCGATGCCTCGCGGCAAATGCGTGAGAATCGAATTTCGGAAATAACTCCGCACTGATCACCCATGACCAAAGCAACCCTTCCCATGGCGCAACTCACTGGTCGGACTGTGGGGTGCGCTATCCGTACTAGCGTATTCGGCGCTGCTCGACGTATCACTCCTGTCCGGTCTTCGGGGTAAGGATCGTGAGCTGCCGCTCCTGTGGAGGCGTCTCGCCGACCCCCAGAGGCGCAGGGAGTGTCTTCTCTCAAGGCGTCCGGGTACGGAACGGCACCTGGCGAAGAGGACCTTGTCGTTCGGATTACCTGAAACGAAGGCATAACACGTTCTGAGGAAACCGAGTGGCGAAGGATCTAGGTAGGGCATCGTGTCGGGCTGCTCGTAACCGATGCGGATGGCCCCGTGAGAATCAGGTAGAAATTCGAGGCGTGGATCAAGCTGCAAGAGAGACGACGAGGAGGAGAGTAGATTATACGTGGTAGTTGTTGATCCCTGCCCTCCACGCGATCTCGACAGCGTGTCTACCGCGTAACGGTAGACAATGTCGTGACCAATAGCTAATATATTGTTGTACTAAATGCTTTCCAGGCACCGCTGGGTACGGTTCGCGTCTTCTCTGTCTTTTATTATCCTACGTATATGCATCCGAGTGAGTGGGAGGATCAAGCGATCGGGGGCAAAAACCATGTAAATTCGAGAGTTTCCATGCCGCGTGTGACACATTGTGACGGCCGCTCGGGGCCCGATCAATTTGCTTCTCCTTTGTGGGCCAGTACGTCACACCGCAACGTGGAATTGGTTAACTGTAACCGTTCGCGAACCAATTTCCTTGAGGCAGAGTCAGAGGTAGTCAATCAGGGTCTGCAACCAGTCCACGCTACAGAACTAAGGGGGGACTTTCGAAAGTTCGTAGACCGGCGCTGATGGTCCCACTATAGGTTTGGACCCATCTCTGTCTCCGTACGTGAATCCGAAGGATTCGCACGGATAGCCGCACGAAATCATCTCGTCCTTCTTTATCTTTTATTTTTTCCCCTGCGTGAAACCGTAGCGAATGCGAACCTTGACCGGGCCCGGAAGAGATCTCGAGTTTATTGTCATGGTAACGAGCAACGGGTGTGTGAAGAAAGAGAGGCCGATCGAATTGAAATTGACTCCTCGAACCGCTAGAGACAACAGAGCTTCTCTCTATGGATATAATTAATCTGATCGAATGGATCGTTAATGTCGCGCATTGCGTGACACTCGCGCACGCACAACACCTTTCTAGTTCGTTAACGTGCATCTTCGGAAACCCGTTAGAAGCACCAGTGACACACTCTCCGGTGCTCCTCGCCTAAAAGCCGAGATATACCTGGGGGCCATAACGTTTCAAGAGAATTTCTTCATCTCTTAGCAATTCGCTTTGCTATTACGAAACTGCAGTGGGCTCAAGTGCGAGAAAGACATCTACCTCCGCAAATAACGTCAGCCAGGTTGGTCTGAACAGCCTGATGAGTGACGTCGCCGTCCCTCAGGGTGAGCATCTCCCCATGGACCAGAGCCATAGCTTCGTCGTTGCTCATTAGCATCCCCCCTTGACCTCTGGAGCTTCCCACTTCCCGGGAACTTCTACGCGAGCTTCCGGAATCCCGTCGGAGCCTTCGGGTCTCCGGCGTGACGACGAAGTATCCTTGAGAGGTGTGATAGATCTTGCGCTCCTGCATCAGCTTCGCCAGGGCGTCGTAAACCAGCTCCCTGCCGGGTCTCTGCATGGCGGGGAAGGCGTTCCTGAGGGCAGCTCGGAGAGTGTCCAGGGTCGCCGCCTGCCTCTGGGAAGTCAACTCGAGGATGGCCCAGCAAAGAGCCTCGGGCAGTGGGGTGAACTGGCCCTGGGACACGGGCGCCACCAGGCAGTCCTCGATATCACCTGAAACAAGGCAAACGGATCGTCACTCGAGGTCAAACGTCAAAGAGTTTCGGAAAGTTCCTGGCGCCACGAGCAGGTTCCGGTCCACTTCGTTGGGATTGACCTATCGGATTTCAATGTGTCTTAACGACCTGACACTTTGGTTCGTTAAAAGGTACATTACACGTGTGTGGATGCCTAGATGCCTGTGCCCCTCGGGCCAACCAGACAATAGATAGGCGTTCCGAAGGAAGATTCAGATAGCCGGAGAGAGTTTATGTATGGAGGACATTGGCCTTCCTCCAACTAGGAGGACCTTCTCGAATTCGTCCCTCGTAGAGAATCGAAGAGGCACGTGCTTGCAGAGAAGTTGCCAACTCCTAACGAGATCAGCATGGCGGAAGTTGCTAATCGAAGATCCTCTCAGCACTCGATTCACGTCGCGGTCGGCGATCGATACGACGTGAATTCAATAAAACACAATAATATTCGCACGATACAGAATTTTGGATTTTCGAATTTTCAGCACGGCCGCTACGGTTCGCGGAAAGAGCGTTTTCGTGAATGCTGATTTAACGGAAGCGCAAGACGGGGCAGAGATCAGTATAGACATCGTGAGTTCATATTTTGCCGGCGCGGAAATACCTTCTGGATATCGCGGCACATTAACCTATACAAGGCGAGTCCACTTGCTTCTCACCGATCTTGTTAGCACACACGGTGTGCTTCTCTCACGTGTTCTGGGTAGGCACCTACCTACGTATTATGTCTAGGTGAATATTATATCCTGGTATGGGATTCCTAGACTCCTTCCTTCCAACGTAGAAAGCTGCTGCGATTTCCACGTTTCTTCGTGGTAAAAACAATTTGCACGCTATAAATCTTCATCTATAATAATTAATTGAGACGTTCCTGAACGACCTCGGCTATCCTTCAGGTACACGCAGCCAGGACGAACTACGTACAGTGCGTGATGGAGGTCGACCTGGAGGAACCCAGATACCTATAGCTACGTGTGACTATCGAGAGTATAGAGACGAGAGAGCCGACTTCTTCCCAGAAGCAACCAAGCAACCAAGTAAGCGACGTACGAGAACCAGTGCAAGATCAGACTGTCCTTCTCTTCTCTCTTGGTAATTGCATACGTGTAGTCTTATTTTGCCAAACATCAGGCCGCCGCTCGACTCCCTTTGCGCTTCGCTCTTGCGCTTCGCTCAGCTTGCTCATTTGCTTGCGCGAGTGTGCGACTGACTAGGCTACATGATGTCTCTCTCTCTCTCTCTCTCTCTCTCTCTCTCTCCTCCGCACGCTGCGAACGCGCTTTACGCATTCTGCTCGCGACAAGACGCTCTTACATGGCCGCTCGCGTTAATCATTAGCGAGTTCGCGACATTGACAATCCTTCCCTGCTGTAGTCAGACACTTCAGGATTGGTCCCCGTTTGGTCCCCGTGATGCTGCTGGGAACACGAGAATTGGATCGATTGGTCTTCAATTTTTTAATGAAATTACAGAAAAGAGGAAAGAGAGAAGGCAATTCCTTTGTCTGAGGATTCTTGTTGTTCCAGTCACGTTTCTCAGTGGTTTTGGGATCCTGCTGTCCTTGTTCCACGGTCTGGTCGACGCCCTTCCAGGACTATGGATTATTCTAAACCCTCAGGACGGAATGTCTTGAAATTCCAAAGGTGTACGAGACTCTGGTTATACGCGTTACGAATACCTAATACGATTCATCCAGGATCACCGGAAGAATCCTTTAGGCTCCGCGAGAAGAAATTTTGCGTCTGCGCGAAGATATGAAGTGACGTCAGCTTTCCAGCAACTGGAACCAGTAACGCTGGTGCGATCGATTTGTTTTCGACTTAAATTGGCGTGGCTCTTTCTGATGACCTCATGGAAATCGAGCAGCAGTGCAGGAACGCGTGTATGGGGGGTTGATGCATGGTCAATGAGAAACGGAAAGGGTTGTGCACCCTTCTGGCATTTGTTACCAAATCCAATATCGTTCGGGGATTGGCTACCCTTTATTGATCCAAAAATAAAATCCGACCACACTCCAAAAGTTTTCTATGCCACGACGGAAATTCTGTCGAAATGATATCGAATTTCCGATTACGGAAATATAATCCTAGAGATCTGGAAGAAGCTTATCATTTGCTTTCGCACGCTCTGTTAATCAGTCTTCGCGTTTATAGCCTGCACAGTCGCGCTCACAATCAGTCCTCTTACAAGCAGATGCCCCCATAGTGATCTCCCATCAGGATAACGATAAAACTGCACTCTCTCATAGACCGCAGTGCGTCCCGCATTTTACAGCGAACCCCATAACACTCGTCCAACCTAACCTAACCTAACCCTGAATTCTTCAATTTCACCCTCACTCGACGACTCCCCTAATTTCGTAATGCATTTTAATTTCTGCCACATTCCCACTGGGGACCAGAGTTACCCAGCACATTCTCCCTCGGTTACGAGTAACGCCAATGCTCGGAGAGCAGCTTGCCGAAGGGCCATTTTCCTCCTGAAGAGTATTATGCTCCAGTCGTGTTATTTTCATCGTGACACTGGGGCTATCCGGGATTCCTTCGGTGGGGTAGAGTGCACGAGAGTCGCCTGGTCGGAATGCCCGTAAAACGGCTGGACTCGTCCGTGAAGTCCGGAGTCGAGCTTCGAATCGAAGAAAAATTTACGAGCTGCAATATGGCCGAAGGAGAATCGCAAGCGTAAATACGATACGATACGACAGAACGGGAGCGTTCTTTCGTGGGAATATCTATGGACCTCGGGGAAAATGTGCAACATTGAGCAGCGGGGGTTGCGAGTGCGTAACTTTGCGAGGAGTGGCCCACCCACGCGTCATCGTAAGAAATATTTAGAGAGAGAGAGGAGAGAGAGGAGAGAGATAAGCAGGAGACAGGTGCGTTTATGTGCCATTTGAAATTTTATGGGGAGCAAACACCTCGCCCCTTATCTCGGTGCTAACTTATGACGCGAGTCTGGGACGCTTGTCTCTCAATGAAATACGGCACTTGAGGTAATAGTGCAATGAATAGGGAACAGGAGGGGAGAGAGAGAGAGAGAGAGAGAGAGAGAGAGAGAGAGAGAGAGAGAGAGAGAGACACATGGAGGTGCTCTCGATATATTTATTTAAGTGAAGCGAACCGCCTGAATTACGACTACGAGTCAGAGATGCGATTGCTCTGCCATCTACCATCTTCCATCTACGGCAGTCTTCGTTTCTCCCTCCTCGTTCCTTTATTTTAATGTATTCTCAGTCCTGATTCAGGCACCTGGAAATCCAAAGATTTCCCACTAGTCGCAGTCTTTCTCCAGTTCTCCCGTCGTCTCTTTGATCTCCAGAGTAGACGTCATTCCGGGCACGGGACGATTTAGTGGATGCACCAAAACGTAGCAGGCTACTAGTCGCATGGCAGGATGCCAGAGTCCTTGCTAAGGAGAATTCGAAGGACGATTCTTTCGAGACAACTCCCGAGTATCCTGACTCCTTCGGCGAATCTGCACGACGGCGCAGAATATGAATTCAAGCGAATTTTTAACTTGCTTTCGCTTTCTTTCTCTCTCTCTCTCTACTTTTCTGCCTCAAGTTACGAGGCATTTTTATGCGCGCCACCGTGCCGAGTAATGGCGCGTAACAAATTCTGCGGTGTCAGGACATAAACATGCCTGACGCACATGTATCATCTACGCGATATTCTCTACCGTACGCGTGGAGCGTTGCTCCTTACGAGTGCTTACGAGGTACAGCGACTACACCAATAAACTTGGCTAAACTGTCAATCAAACGTCAGGACGTTGCTCGTCCCGGAATGACTCCGGCCTGGCGCTCTGACAATCGGAAATTTCCAGAAGACGTTGTTGGGCACCTAAGCAACCACGAGCAGCCACGAGCAGCCTCGTGCGTACGAGCAGGTACGCGTCTCCCGTGACGCCTTAGCACTGCCTATTCTCGACTGACCATTGTCGTGCGCAATTCCGTCTGAATTTGGCTGGACAGAATCGTCCGTAAGACTTGACCATGGCTGTCGGCAGGTTCGGTTCCGCTCTGCCGGTTCTGAAGTCGACTTGGAGAATAATTAAAGATGGTGGTGGTGGTTGGCAAAGTACAGGCGATCGAGTGTCAAGAGTGTCGAACGACACTCGAGGCAACGGGTTTCCATATGTTTTGTACTTTATGTCCGATGCAAATGGTCGCCCGTAGAAAAGCTCGAGATAAGGAAAACCCAGCTCACGCGCTCGAGCAATCTGGCGTCGTCGCCCCCATCGACGTCGTTGCCATCGTCCGGCGTCCTTAGTCGGTCTCGACGTCCAATACACACGCGTGCCTAGGATACGTGTGTCGCGATAGAAGACAAGACTTTCGTTCCACGACAGTGGATTTAGTCGCGACCAAAGGCATAAATACGTCCGATCGCAGGGAGCGCGGTAAAGGAGCACGTACCGGTACGAGTACCAGTACCAGTGCCACGAGTACCGATACCAATACTGGAAGCAGCGACGGAATCGTGATCGGCAGTACTGCAGTGCCAGCGCCAGCCAGCGGCAGCCAGAAATAGGAAACTCGGTAAATAAGTGAGACCGGCTAACGTTCGTGCGGGACAGCGCACCGCGCCGGTAACGATTCAATCCTTTTCTGATCTCGTTTACGATCGGTTCGATCGGATTGGAAAAATGCGCGCGCGTCGTTAGGCGAGCGATCGGCCGATCTCCAGGAAAACGGGCGATGCGAAAAAGGATTGCTCTCGACGTGGGAGTTGCATAATTTCCATTATTTCCATGGTGCTCTCGACACGCTCGAGACGAGCCGCGCCCGCGCCAGGATTCTTTCGCTCGTCGGTTTCTCTCCTGTGACACAATGGACATTTCTACTTGGCACTTGTTGCGTTTCGAATTCCCTTCGAGCCGAGTCGAGATCATTCCTCTGGATCTCTTTATGCACTCCAAGTGGTCCAGGACCACTCGCTTCGTCATTTTCTCTGGTTCTGCATCCTTCTTCGATTGCGA